GCACAATAAGTAACGGATATATTGGTGAAATAAACGCATTGAAATCACTATATCATTTAGAACACCTAACTCCAAATCTAAAGTGTAACAAACGAAGAAATATTTTACAACTAACTGAAACTTCTTTTACGAATAATGATTTTTGCAGTGAAATGTATTTATCGAAGGCATTGTAATTTTTTGTACTTATTTTCATAGTTATTGTTTTATATTAATTATTATTGGTTTATAATGGTCACAAGTATCCATCATCATTTAATTTTGTATTTTAAATTTTTATGTTGTGACATTGACAATAAATCTACTTATTCTATTGTATTCTTTCTCTGAAGATCTCTTCTAGAGATAAGCTCACCTTTGTATGTCCTTTTGCTTATTAACTTGTGGTGCAATAAAGATTATTATTACATGCCTGGGAAATTAGTGAAATTTTTAAGGTCAATGTATTTACAATGAAGATAAAATCTAGAACAAAGTTTCATATTGTTGGTGATATAGTTCTTTTTTTAATTATTAGAGTTAATACAAATAATTTTAATTTATCTTACTATCAATATGATATTCTTATTAATAGCGGTAACCTAGTAGCAGAATTATTCTCGATTAATAGATCAAATTTCTTTGGTGGCATGTATATAATTATAGTCTCCTACTTTATACGTTACGCCTGCATATAGTAAAATGTTCACAACTCTGGGAAAATGCGTGAAGTATGCAAGTTTAAATGTCTCTTTAGCCCGGCTCTGGATATAATGGGTTTGATGATGAAGATGTTCTTGTTTAACAATAAACCGCATTATCAAAAAAACAGAGTGACTATCTGCGAAAGGCTGTTGGCAGCAGATTGATGCGGCAAGCTGAGGACCAGACGAAATAGCGCACATTGAGATAGGCTTATGTCCAGCAGTGAACTCCAATAAACTAATGATGATGATATAACTCTTATTGTGAAGAATCATCATCTCTAGCACTGGTCTCTTCTAAATGGGTTCGGGAACTTCTAAAGTTTCATAAATGTTCTTCCCCATGAAACTTTCACGATGATTTTAATTTTGTTGGTGATAATTAGAAAAACAAACTGTACTTTATGCGGAATGACAAATGTGGCAATCGTACTTAGAACATCTTACATAAATGGCAAGCTTTCTTCCAACTGATCCTGAATAGTACTAGCTTGCGAATAATATTTGTTACAAAAAGTCTTTTAACTTCAACCACAGAACGTGCGCCTGCTCACCGGGCTCGTTGTGGTCGGGTTTGAATTTGGCTGGACTTGCTGATAAAAACAAACTAACTGGAATTACACGAATTCAATATCGTAGTCATTGGTAACGGTAATTTTAAACTTTTTCACTAGTTAGGTACCATTATCTTATACCATCTCGTAGCTTAGAGCTTAGTTACGTGAAAGATTTCAGAATACATTTTCGGTGTAATAATTATTTTTGTTGAGTTTTGGTTTTGGAGTTCGATTTGTTTCTGTGGCACATAATAGATCTGACTACTTTGTTAGTGCGTATTGCACAGGATTTAAGGATGTAATTCACTCACTTTTGTATATATTTTAAGAAGCGTTGTTACTCTTGTTTGTTATCTAATTTGGAAATTCTTTAAAACCATTTTTTCCCTTATGACAGGCTAACGTTTATGTCTATAATTTCGACGTCTGTGGCCCAGCGTTAATACTGTGAGCGCTAAATGAGGAGGTCCCGAGTTCGATACTTTGGAGGACTAATTTGGGAAACGAGGTTTCGTTAATTCTCTTTCTTATTTCAATCTTCTTTCTCTCTCTTATTTCAATCGAAAGTTTAAGCATTAAAACTTAACTACTTAGTACATTTGTAGAATCTTTAAACCTTTTTCCTAAGAAGGCATTATTTGCAAATTTGTCATTTTGCGGATGTGGCCTTATTACAGTCAAGAGTTTCAAAATTTCACATATACATAATTATTAAAAAATATGAAACAGTGAAATTTTAATATAAATTATAAATTTTTTCCACGAACTTTGTATTATTTCTAAAAATTTCATATAATGATGAATGGTTTTATCTCTTGGCGTTTGATCATATAGGGCTTTATACGATACGACTTCATTTTATTGCGTATAATATTTTTACTGTTTGTTTAGGTGCTTAGATTATTATTAAACATGTTAGCCTCATTAGAAAAACACACATAATACATCAAAAAAACACTTAATGAAATCCAAACAGACAAATCAATATACGACCTAACCAAGTATGTTTAAAAAGTCCTAGCGACACCACTCCTTGGCTCGGATAAAACGGATTGAAATCGTCCAACATTAAATGTATCAAAACCAACCTTAGCAATTAACCACACCTCGGTAGGTACCGTGCGAACACACTCCATGAGCAAATGATGTATGTTCTTATTAGTAATTTGGAGAATTTACCCTCCACTATATTTTTCTAAAATAAATGTATTTACGTTTTTCTGTTATTAAGTATTTTTTACGATACCAAGAGACGGTACGAACGACATACCTGCCCATAGCAGTTAGTAGTTCTACTCAGAGCTTTAAATCGCAAAGATAAGGGGCGCTGCCACTGCAACAACCCTTATCCTGAGACATAAGTTGACAAGTCCCATGTGCGTGTAATTTCACCATTACCTTTTCAAACCGGAATGCACTAATGCTCACATTACTGTTTGACGGCAGAAATAGGTAAGGTGGCAGTACTTCCCTGGACGAACACTGACACAAGGAGCTCTACTGCTACTAAAAAGCTAAGTTTAGGTTATATGAACTGATATTTTTGTTAGTCACTACATTTTTATTTAACACCCTTTGCCACCAAGTTATTTTTTTTAGATAAATCTAGATTAGATAAATCTATATAATATATAAAGTAATAACAGATACAATTATATATACATAGTACATAAATAAACGTCACGTAGGTCAGGACTGGATGTGTCGGCCACAAGACCGCCAAAAGTGGAAGAAGAAGGAAGAGGCCTACATCCAAGATTATATAACAAAACGGCCGCCATGATGACGATGATGACATAAATAAAAAAATCGATGTAAAAACTTTAAAAGGCGAATAAAATTCCACAAATATTACCTGTTTTATAATTTTTTTTACGTAATTTCACATTCAAGTGTTATTTGCTCAGATAACTTAGTTATCGACTTAATTTGCATTAAGCAATAACAATAAATCAGTTAATTAATTACTTACTTATATACGCAAATAGATAAAAAAAAAACGTTTAATTATTTACCTTGATATTTATTTCGTTCATTTTGGTTGCGAAATCTTAGTGTGTCCACATCCTATCCTACCGACTACTACTACGAATTCGTCCCTACAAGCAAGAAGTGGAGACCAGGAATCCTAAGATATAGAGTACACCGAGTTTAGGCTTCTGTCTTACATAAATCGGTACCTCCAATGAACATAAATATTAATGTAAGCAGCCTTTTTCATTTACTAATATTATGTTCCCCGAATTTTGTGAAAAAAATAAAGAAACAAAAAACGAAATTGGAAAGTAAACGAATTTTGTTAAAAAAAAAAGAAATGAAAAAACTAAATAAAAACAGAGATGACTTAGAAATTAATTTGGAGTAGTGTTCATTGGATTTTAAGCTCTGTACTATGACTTTGTTACCATGAATAAAATAGTATTATTATGAATTAATTCTAATATTTCTATATTCTACATATTCTTATATAAACTCTCGCCTCTCACATAACTTAAAAAAAAATTATTTTATTTTAAATTTCATCCGAAATTTATTTTACCTTTTTTGTGAATTTTTTTTTTTGTATAAAAATATGAATGGCTTTCTTGTGCATTATACTAAATTTTAAGTAGTAATAATAGTTACAATTGAATAAATGGAATAAAAATATTTATTATATACCCAAAAATATACAGAAAGAAAAATTTAAAAAAGAACAACAGTAAAACAAAAACCAAAATAAAGAGAAAAATAAACAACGAACTAACAATTAAAATTTCAAATCGACAAATAGATATTTTGTTTGGCTGGACTCCTTTTCAATTTTTTAATTTGTTGCGTAATGTTGTATAGTAGAAATTGCTACTATCAATAAGATTACCTATTCTTACATTAGCTTATTCTGTGATACATTACTGTACTGTGTTGTTATTGTAATCCTTTTTAATGTTCAGTAAAGGATATTAATTAATTCCTTCGTGAATATTTTCATGCAAACTATTAAACCGTACAAAAAAATATTTACTCTGAACTCTTCCTACAATGTAAGACTAAGTCGTGAAAACTTACCAGTTTAACTAGAAAATGCCTTATCATTGATTTAATATACCAGATCTAGTGCTTACTAACACTAGATCAAAGCTGATCTAGATAAATGCTTTTAAGCTCGTGATTAATGTCATCGTGCAGCATATACAATTAATTAAATTAATTTAATTAATTTATATTATAAATTAATAAAATAATAATCAGCATCTCTATAATTAAACGTCCGAAAACATGAGATACTTAAACAAGTAACCGTGTCAGTAAAGTAGTGATAAAATCAGATCTTGGAGTTTTATAGGCTGATGTTTTTGGTTTATGGCGTGGTTATATAAATGACAAATTGACTTGTATCATTTTTAGAGGTCCACTTTAATGGAGATCAAATTGCAAAGTTTTGTCAATTGTTACAAAAGTGAATATTAACACACTTATTTTCCATATAAATGTGCACATGAAGTTTTAATTGCTCTATAAAGGTTATTTTAATTTGCTAAGACAAAAACGTGATAATGTTAGTCGTTAATATCTCTTTGTCCAAAGATAGATACTGAATTTACCGTTTTACGTAAATTGCTAACCTTAACAACTAATGGGTTTATTATATTAACTTGCGTATCTACTACCTGCCGGTTAACGTAAGAATAAACATACAGAAAAAAATATCTAATAAGCAATATTTAAACTACAAAAATTTAAAGTAAACAAAAAAGAATTAATAGGAAATTCCACTTACATCATGATCTGGAACGTAGGAGTAAACGTGGAGCTTATCAATCCTGATGGTACCCTGAAAGGGATATAGCAGAGACCCTCGCTGCAGCTCCGTTGATGTCCAAACGCTGACGGAAGCCTCTCGCCCCCTCGCTCCACCAGGCCTTAAAGCCAAGCTCAGCTCTTGAGGGATCAATACCAGAGTCTCCATTTTCAACAACTACACATAACGTTTAAAAAGGTATAAGCGCAGTTGTGCTGTTTTTAACTTGAAGAGTCCACAGAAAAGTTTTTAACAGTCGGCAGTGATTTTGTGCGCTCTAAAACTTTTTAATCTTCCACCCACAGTCCTCATGTCATAAATGAGTAATCTCGAAGAATGTGACCGAACTCGTCCATCACAGTTAATGAGGATAAATAAATTATAACACACAGAGAAAAAAAATATATAAAAAAGTCGGGACGTCGCTTCGATTATCGACCGACGATGTCGCCTACAAAATATCGGCTGAGTACGTGATCGATCGTCCGGTGAAATGTCTGGATTAATCACTCACATGAGTTCAGGTTTAACACTAAAATTATTTTTTAAACTTAATAACGAAGTCCTTGTTATTTCTAAAAAAAACTGTCCTTGAACACGTGAAACGCTGTAAGTGCAATTAGTAAGTTCTGAATTGGTACTGTCGTATCATAATGTCCGAACAATATGCAAGGGCGGATACGGCACGGGTGCTCCGCAAGGTAGGATGCGCGCGCGCTCTTCTCTGAACGTGCACTGAAGGAAGCGCTAACATTGACCTTAGCCGCGGCCGTGATCGCGTTTACAGTTCATTTTTTGTTCCGATAAAAAGGAGAGGAGTAAAGCCCTACAAATATAACTTATTATCTTTTCATACAACATGTACTTTATACCCTGGACATAAGAACGAATTTAATGGTAAATATAAGTTTGTAAGATGTTAGAGTAAGGTGCTCCCCTCCATAGGCGGCACCTGTGCGCGTGCGCCGCCTCAGACCGACGGAGGCTCGCGCGCCAGACGCACCTGATGCCGTCTACCTGTATGCCAGCTTTTTATTTGATACGATATATTTTTTTACATACTTTTGAATATATATTTTAATCTTAATCACTTTTAGACACTTTAAAATTTTCAGAACATTTGCTTCTGTCCTTGTTTTCTTGATAAAAAATGTTATCTGGTACTTAGTAATATTTTTTTTAATTAGGTCATTTTATACCACGTTCTTCTTTTTATTTACGTAATAAAAAATAAATAAAAGCTGTAATATTTTTTTTCGTACATTGAATGTTTAACACAATATTTTTATTGTAAATTTAAGCATAAATGAAAGCTACAGTGTAAACAATGAGATAAAAATAGATCATTCCGACGATAGAGTCGTGTCTGTCAGTCCGTCTGTCATTCATAACAGTCCCATAACTCCTGGATTTCCATACAACTTTCTGTTGGCACATAAATTTTATATCTTTGAAAGGAATACCATTATTGCAGTTAGTGCTTTTATTACTGTCATGTTTTGTCATTTCGTGTACCTATATCTAGACCGAGCATTGACAGTGGACCTAAATTTGTACGTAAATGATTCATATTTGTATTATAAAGTTACGTCAATTTACATTTCACATTATTACATTACGATTCGTTACAATGTTGTTAACCATACTTTTTTTAAAGTTAAAATACACTATATATTTGTCTGGTTACATTTCGCCAAGACTGTAGATTATAATTTATATTTCTTAACTATAGAGTTCGTTTTGCGAATGCAAATTATACAGGGTGATTTATAATGATTCATATAATGTGAATACGTCTGAAATAGTGAAAATATGCAGGTGTTGTGTTAAATAGCAGACTGTTGTCGAGTTCAGAGGGATATCTATTTTTTTTTTGGAGTTAAGTTAATTAAATGGACAACTCACGGACTTTGGTAGTATTTCCGTTTTATCTATATTTTTTAAGTCTTCATTTCATAGGTATATGCAATCGTCATACTGATTAAACTCTGCTGCTCGTATTCGTAAGGCAGATTCCCCTGAGAAGAATGAGCAAGAAACTCTAGGGTTTGCTCTTTGTAAACATTTATCTTTGAATACATTTATCATTACAATATTTAATTTAAACATATCAGATCGAGACTACCTGCGAGAGTTAAACGGGTCACTACCACGAATTTTTGTCATCCAAGTACGCAGAAACTGTATAACAAACCTTTAGTATAAAAATTTTTGTTTCACTATAGTTTTAAACCTCATTGTATTTCTGCCATTAAGTAGTAATGTGAGGGTGCTGGACTGGTGAAACTACTGACACAAGGGACTTGTCAACTTTATGTCTAGGGGTGACGTGCGCAGTCGCCCTTCACACTTTTACAATTGAAAGTTTTGAGTTGCATTGCAACTGTTACGGATAGGCGTGTCGCTTACCTCCAGGCTCACGACTTGTTCGCCTCATCACTTGATAACATAAAAAAGAGAAAAAAATTGAAAATAAAAAATCCCTATTATAAGTATACGAACAATAATTTTGAAATATTATTTCAAACTATATATATACATTTTGCAATATATACCTTTTTCTACAATAACAGTAGCAGAAGTTATTTATATATTAATAGAAAATCTGAAGGTTAAAAACCTTGGTGAACCTTTGTGCTTTCGTACTTATATTTATTTGTTTTTTTGTGCTTCACGCTTGGGTTACAACATGACTCATAAACACAGGGTGGCATGTTTTTTTTTATTTTAGACAGTGATTGTACACATCTATACAAAAGTTCTTTAACATGGTGACCCTAATGATATCTTTTATTAGCTTTTTCGTACTAAACATTCATGCATAGGTACTCGACAGTTTATATTTATTTTTGTTGAAGTTAGGGGCGTGTCCATAGCGAAAGTTGTTCATATTAATAAGTAGAGTCACCTATTTTAATATCGTTAAATAAGATAAGATAAGACACGCAAAATAGGCGCCTGGACGACGAATTGAAGATACCAGCCGCACACCGTACCATACCAAAATATTTCAGCCTGTATATCAAACAGTCATTCTGTAAACTGATCTTCTTCATAAGTCAATGACATTGTCTTTATTTCAGACCAAACTATTATATTTGTGTTTCGCAACTAACAACCAAATAAAAAGACATATATTTTAATAACACCTAACGTAAAACCGGAGATCTTCGTGAATTGGAAATGTATCAGGTTGCACGTTAATAACGCCCACTCTTATTACCAAGATTTATTAATGAATCAGTCATTTACTTCTAATATAAATTGTTAGTGAAAGCATTACACGTGTTATTATTACATTTTTAAATTTGTCATTTCCATTAGAAAATCATTAACTAAAAATAATTTACATTTTCATATGATTATATAAAATTTTATTTTAATTAAAAAGTGCCCAGACATCAGATCGATTTAATTTCATTATATTAAAACGTAAAATATATATTATTATACCACCAAACCAGAACCAATAAATTTAGAATATAACAGACACAGCTACCTGCAGAAAATCAGGGCTCAATCGAAACTGGTTAATGGAGAATGTCGACGACCGCTGCACACCTGCCGCAACCGCAATCCCACTTGAACCGTATGAATATCGTGTTGGTATTCGAACGATACTTGTACTTAAGTGAATAAAATGTATCAATTTTAGATTTTTGCCTACTGGTTATGAATTACGTAGCTAGGTACAAGGAAAATACACACCTAAACCATAGTATAATAAAGTAAAATCTCACCTGTTCTTAGCATAAATGCCTACACTTCACTCAGGTTGTCTTTTTTTTATAATACTAAGTGACTGGGCGAACAAGTCGTGCGCCTGGTGGTAAGCGACATGCCTATACTTAACAGTTGATCTTAGGGGCACTGCCACTGCTCCCGTCACCCTGAGACATAAGTTGACAAGATCCATGTGCCTATAATTTCACCAGCACCCTTACCCTTCCAAACCGGAATGCAGTAATGCTCATATTATTGCTTGGCTGCAGAAATAGGTAAGGTGGCAGTACTTCCCTGAGCGACCTGTTGCACAAGAAATCTTATTGCTACTAAAACTATCACATTATAAAAAATAAGTCTTTAATCTCCATTTTATCAAACTATGTTGAAATAACCTTTGTTAAATGCAGTATGTACTTATGTATTCATATTTTGACATCAGCATTGCAGATTTGTATATTGATTATGGAGTATGATTATAAATTATAGACCCTAGTTCAAAATACACTACACAACCTACTAACTACTAACGACGTAATTTTTTTAACACGAGTGACCGCTTCAATTTTATAGGACGTCCCGAGTATGCAACGCGAGTTTACCGCTAAATTATGCGAATATGTGCCTCCGTATGTAGGTAACATGCACACATACAAACTCCGCTGCTACGTTTGTCTGGAGTTATCTTGTCATTTTATCAGTGATTGGAATAAGTAGAGTGTATTTATCTAAACTTCGAGGAAAAGAAATAGAGAGTGGAGAGTACCCTATAACAACATATTTTTTGTCCCGGATTTTTTCATATATCTTCATGGTAAAATATTCTATATTCGATCTTATTAATATATTCATGGTAAAATATCCCGATGCCTACCTATTCCTATCACTGCTTATTATTATTATACCTGATAGCTTTTAAATCTTTATCCAGTATAAGTTCGCTCTGATGTAGTGTCGCTGTTCTGCATTGATGTCGCCTTTGACACGGCATTGCCCGACATTAGTTAGCTGTTGTTGGATTCGGTGGGGCGGAAAGCAAATAAATTTAATCAAACACACTTGTGGAATCGAAGCTTCATAGTCTCGATCACTTACCACAAGGCGCACGACATTCATCCTGTCGCTTTTTTTTATGATACCTAATTACGGGACGAACAAGTCGTGAGCCTAGTAGTAAACGACACGCCTATCCATAACAGTGGCGGTGCCACTCAGAGCTTTAAAACGAAAAATTGGAGCGACACTGCCACTGCGTCCGTCAGCCGGAGACATAATTTGACAAGTCCCATGTGCCTGTGTGTCAGATGCGTGTCGAGAAAATTGTCGTTAGTAAAGCCGGAGAAAACAAAAAATACTTTCCTTAAGAAAAAGTGGCGCCTTGGCGATATTTAACCACAATTTATTAGTACACTTCATTTCACTGGTTAACTTATTGTACACATAAAATTTAGCACAAAATATAATATTTGTTAAAACGTGGAAAATTTTAGGCAAGCCGGTGAAAATCGAGTTATATTGTAGTATAGATAGACTATATTTATAGTCTAACTGCAACATGTGGTGCATATTGCTTGGTTAGCAATTAAGTTTATGTTTTATTTTAAATAGTATATTTTGTCACTTATGTTCCGGAGACCGAGCAATAAACATGTCTCTTTAAATCAACGTATTTCACTTTACCATCTACGTCCATCCTTTTTACTAATATAAGATGGTGACCATGCCAGGATTTTTATTAATATGAGAATATGGAAGCCTCGCCACTGCTGTGTGCGGACGTTAATTCCAAAATGATGCTCCTTGCTAAAGAGTTCGTCCAGGGAAGTACTGCCATCTTACCTATTTCTGCCTCCAAGCGGTAATGTGAACTTTACTGCGGTCCGGTTTTGAAGAATAAGGGTGCTGATGAAATTACTGGCACATGGGATTTGTTAACTTGTCATTTAATTTGTTAACGGGTCTCAGGGTTACGAGATC